GGGGGTCAGGCTAGATGATCTGTTCAGGTCCCTCCTGACCCTAGCTACTATGAAACTATGAAGTGTGAGGAACAAGTATAATAGAAAGAATGTTTAAGACTTCTCTACACAGCAAAATGAAGGTATCATTGTAGCATGGGCAAGCATACCTGAGCCATCTTCAGTCTAGCTAGCATGGATTAATATAAGTAAAAAAATGGCAGTGTGAGTTTCAGCACAGGCTGTTAACCAGAATGGGCACTCTTTGTCAGGAGTGGATCCAGGATTTGTTAAATGGGATTTAGGAATAAGCAACCTGTGCTCCAGAGGTGGCTGAATCTCTGCTCATAACCTTCCCACCAACCCCGGCACAATATAGGCAGACTGTGCCTGGGAACCACCGGGGAGTTTTTAAAGACCCCAAAGCAGCTAAGAGTCCCAACACCTTTCACTTTATGTTAAGAGGTTTGCCCCTTCCCCACTTCCTCTGCTCACCCCTGCTGCTTTCCCTCCTGTCTAGGACTGGAGGAAGCTTCAAAGCCACTCCTGCCTGCTCCAGCAGGGCTGTGCAGGTACTGGGGTCACCTGGGATAGCAGCAGTGATGGGTGGGTTTCCTCTGCCTGCCCTGTCTCCCCAGGGAGCAGTGCAGGGAAGGGGAAACCCCTTGCCCATCAGCTGCTGCAGTTGCTGTTGCTCTCCCAGGTGAACTTAGCTCCTATGCAGCCTGACTGGAGAAGGCAGCAATGGCTCTGAAGCTTCCCCATCCACTGGAAAGCATGGAAAACAGCAGTTGGAGGCAGGGAAATGGAGGGGAAGTGGCATGCCTTTAAGCATGGAGGGGAAGGGTGGAGCGGATTGTCGTCTGCCTTGGGGACTTTAAAAAGTCTCCTGCAGTGCCGGCCAGTCCAAGAGGGGAGTGCAATCACACCACTTTACCCACCCTCGGGATCCCACACTGCTCTTGGTCTTAGGTGGGCTTGTATTCTAATTGCTAGCCTTTATTGAAACCTATACCTCCATGTCTTCACTGCTGTTACCTGTGTTAGTTAGATTAATATTAGCATGACTATGTACCAGGCTACAATCACACCATCTTTTTTGCTCTGTAGATATACTTTAAGAGCTACTAACATCTTCCTATTAGTTCTAAAATTTAAAAGGTATTGAAGAAGATGAAAATTACTATGTACACTATTTAATTTGACTTAATTCTTAATAATGTTACTCCTCTTCTTGAACAATGACACAGAGAATAACAAGGTTCCAACACAATTTAATTATCTGTAGGTTAAAATCACTATCACTTACATGTAATGGCAAAAGCAGACAGCTGTGAGCTCTCTCTTCTATTTCCTTTGATGCCTAGTTAGATCTTTCTCTCTTCCCAAAAGATGAGAAGACAAGCTGTTTTTTTTAGAGACAACCATGCAGTGTCTTGCATGAATTTGACCCCAGACACTTACCACTATGATACTTATCCACCTTCTGGCTGTGCTAATGTTCCTGATCTCTTTCTCCTTAGCTGTTTCTGATTCAGTTCTTTTGCATTTATTTTTTTCCTTTCTCCATTGTTGAACAAGGTACAAGTGTATGTGTCTAACCTAAAATTTGTGAGTAGTGCCAATGAGCTTAATGGGGCTGTGCTCTGGGCTGCTGTGGTTAGACTGCTTTCTGGAATCTATGCTAGCTAAGGTGTGTCTACACCAGGGGTTAGCAACCTTTTAACAATAGTGGGCCAAACCAGTGCAGCTCAGTCCCAGGATGGGCCATCATCCCTGATTGCCCCTGCTTCCCTCTACCCCCATGTGCTGCCAATTCCCCTTGTCACTGATTGCCACCAATTCCCCTCACTACCAATTGCCACACAAGTCCTGGCTTTGCAGGCCAGATAAAATCTTTTTGTAGGTTGCTCACCCTGCTTTACACTATAGTTCAATTTGCAGTTTAGACATACCCGAAGTTGGACATGCATTTAAATATTGTATTGTATCTGAGTCCAGCTGTGTTTTGTGATCCCCCCCCCGGGACTTTCTTTTCAAGTTAATAAGCTCCCTCTAAAGGAAAATTAGACCAAAAAAAATCCCTCCCCACCAAAAATGCCTTTGTTTTAAGGAAGCAGGTCATTTATTTCCATACAAATAAGGGCCTACCTATTGCACAAAAACTTATTCCTTTAAAATAGGCATTCTACAATCACATTTGTTCCATGTAGGAGGCGTCTGCCTTGGAACAAATTAAGACATTCTTTCAGGCCTTTTATCTATTCTTCTGTATGCAAGCATAACAAAACTAAATACAATGCTTTAGCCCAAGATTTTCATGTCCAAAAATTACATTTCTAAGAAAATCATATAGTTATTTTAATTAATAATTGTTTTGACCAAATAAAAATAGCATTTATGGTTTTGATAGGCTAACAAAAAATAAAGTAATATGAACTCTTGTGGATATTAAAATGACACGTTGTGGGGTATTATATTTTCTTTGCTCTCTATTCTTAGATGTTTAGGGTTTAAAATATATTAGCACTGATAGTTTAATTGAACTGCAAGAATGCTGCATATCAATCTACTATAAATTAGTTTTGTTCATTTACTGTTATTTCTAGGTATAATTATACGGTATGAACTTTACATGAGAGGAGTACCACAGTCTGATGGAAGTCATGTGCCTCCTGAAACTCGTATTTTCCAAAGTAGTGGATGGCTCAATCCTCAGCCAGTTGTGGAGTCTGCCAATGAAAATGCATTAACCCCACCTCAGACCAGCACCAGAGTCATTGGCCTTGAACCATTCACAGAGTATGAGTTCTGTGTCTCAGCAGTAAATATGGCTGGTAGTACATTATCACACTGGATCTCAGAAAGAACTGCAGAGGCAGGTAACTTGGTTATATTATCCCCATTCTCCCTTCCCCAACCTCACATTTATTTTTTTAATTGTAATAAAAAGCAGTTATGATATTTGCCAAATGAGACCAAATTCTGCTCATTTCACTCATCCACAATTCACTTAAATTTGGGGGGAATTGAATATGAGAAATGTAAAAAGACTTGGCTCATAAAATCATTATTTAAAAATGCTGTTACATCATAAGTTTTAACAAACTACATCACAGTTTGGTTTTCTGAATTTTACCTAGTTTTTTCTCTGTCACTCTTTTATCTTGTTCAGACAGATATTCATTAACCTATCCCTTTTGTGAAAGGCTAGGGAATATATAGGCCTTAACATGAGCCATGAAAGTCATGCAGCTACATTACACTCAACTCAGATTATACTGTACTCTGCTTTGGGGGAAGAAATTCATTTGGGTTGAGCAGCAATTGTTTAGGCCCTGATTCAGGACAGAGAATCCCTGTTTAAAAAGGGTGTTTAAGCACAAATCTAACTATAAACATGTGGCAAAGTGGCTTCCTGAACTGGAACCTCCGGGCCTCGTTATACATTCATTTTATGCAGCTCCTGGAGCTCTTACCCCCTGGATTGTCTGGACATTAACACCGAAACAGTTTTAAGCACAATTAGGTGGCTTAAAGTTATGCCACTCCAGGGCAGGTTTCTCTCTGATGCATGTTACCCAGATCATGTTCCATTAATGTGTGACCATTTTCCATAGATGAGCTGCTGAAGTTGCAGTCCTTTAGCATCCCAGGAGGCAGTCTCCTCTCCCCCCGCCCCACCCTGTTCTGCGTGGATAAACTTTCCACCTCCTGAACTGTGCAGCCCAGGGGGCAGTACTAGCAACAAGTCAACTCCCCCTTCTGCCCCCATGGGTGCAATCTTCCCACTCCCAGGGGTACAACCCTGTGCAAATAGCCTGCAGAGCACATGCCAGCTAGCCAGGTCACAGGCCATGGACATGTCCAGGAGTGGGGTCTGGGGGGAGGTAGGGGAACAAGGGGCTGGGTTGGGTCCCTATGAACTGGGGCTTCCTTCCTGGGGGAGGGCAGTGGTTTCCCCAAAAGTGCTTTCCCTCACCACTCTCATTTCCAGGCCACCCCAGGAAGCATTATTATCATCCCCTACATCCCAATCCCAAATCCAAGTTCATTAAAATTTGAGACCTTCTTTAATTTGCTTCCTCTTGATGGTTTTTGAAATTCTTTTTTTTTTTTTTTTTTTTACTTCTTTTTATTTCATAGAATCATAGAAAATTAGGGTTGGAAGGTAACTCAGGAGGTCATCTAGTCCAACCCGTTTCTCAAAGCAGAACCATCCCCAAATAGATCATTCCATCCAGGGCTTTTTCAAACTGGGCCTTAAAAATCTCCAAGGATGGAGATTCCACCACCTCTCTAGGTAACCTGTTCCAGTGCTTCACCACTCTCCTGATGAGTGTTTTTCCTAATATCCAACCTAAACCTCCCTTGCTGCAACCTGAGACCATTACTCCTTGTTCTGTCATCTGTTACTGCTGAGAAAAGTCTAGCTCCATCCTTTTTATAACCACTCTTCATGTAGTTAAAGGCTGCTATCAAATCCCCTCTTAGTCTTCTCTTCTGCACACTAAATAAACTCAGTTTCCTCTGCCTCTCCTCAGAAGTTATGTGCCCCAGCCCCAAAACCATTTTTGTTGTCCTCTGCTGGACTTTCTCCAGCTTGTCCACGTCCTTTCTATAGTGGGGGCCCAAAACTGGACACAGTACTCCAGATGTGGCCTCCTCAATGCAGAATAGAGCAGAATAATTACTTCCCTCAATTTGCTGGCAACGCTTCTTCTAATGCAGCCCAGTATGCTGTTAGCCTTCTTGGCAACAAAGGCAAACTGCTGACTCATATCCATCTTAGTGTCCACTTTAACCCCAAGGTCCTTTTCTACAGAGCTGCTGCTTAGCCAGTCAGTCCTTAGGCTGTAGCAGTCCATGGGATTCTTCCATCCTAAGTGGCCCAATCCTCCAGTTTATCTAGGTCACTCTGAATCCTAGCCCTACACTCCAATGTATCTACTACAGTGCCCAGCTTGGAGTCATCGATGAACTACTGAAGGTGAAGTCCAGTCCATCCCATCTTCCAGATTGTTAATGAAGATACTGAACAAAATGGGTCCCAGGACCGACCCCTGGGGCACTCCACTTGGTACCGCCTGCCAATTAGACATTGAGCCATTGATTGCTACCTGTTGAGCCCAACAATCCAGCCACATTTCTATCCACCTTATAACCCATTCATCCAACCCATACTTCTTTAGCTTGCTTGCTTTATCCTTCAGTGGCCAACTTCCTTCATTTCCTCACCCTTTCCTCCCCAACATTTCCTTTCTACTTCACATTTCATTACCCATCCCCATCCCATTAACTTTCCACCTCCTCCTATGTTTCTGCCTCCCCTCTTCCCCTCACCAACCCATCTCTCACACCCACTTCCCCGCACTGAGGGCAGGGATAGAAGCCTGTCTTGGTTCACCAGCCCTGTAGTGACAACTCACCTCTGTAGCTCCTAGTCAGGCCTCTGCTCACCAGGCCTCTAGAGGCAAGTGACAACAGCTATACAGGTCATGGACAGTCAGAGAAAGTTTTTAGCCTTTAGTGTGACTGCTCCAGACTTGAACTAGCACTAACACTGATCAACATTTAAGCAGCTCAAAGTGCAACACATAACAAGGCCCTGAAGGTGCCTATACATGTGCAGTGAGGGTGTTCTGATGTGCTGTAATTACAGTGTGTCAGAAAAGACTTGATTAATCGAGTCTGTTGGAGTGTGGTAATTACCGTGCTCCAGTAGACGCCAGTGTCCTGTATATTAATGTTCCTGCACTGAAAGATGGCAGCAGGGGCACTTTAAAGCTTGTTTTATCAGCTTAAAGCACCCCCACCACCATTTTTCAGTGCAGGGTTGTTGATACCTGTGACACTCTGGGCGTTTTAATTAGAGCAGCTCCAAGAACTTCTCTAATTAAAGCCCCCCCGCCCCAACTCCTGGAGCATGTGTATAACCACCCTTAGTCACTTTGGGCTAAATTTTTCAAGATCTCATCCCCACCGTTTTATGTGTTTAACACTCAGAAGAAGGGTTGGATTTTTAAGAGCTCAGCTTTCAGGAAGCAAAATAAGGCCAGGTACCTAAAATAAGAGCTGGATTTTTCAAAGTACTCCTCTCTTAACTTGTTCTTTGGAAATAATGCTCACAAATTGTGATGCTTCATAGTTTCATAGTAGCTAGGGTCAGGAGGGACCTGAACAGATCATCTAGCCTGACCCCCTGCCACAGGCAGGGATGAAAGCGTGGGT